TAATAAACTGACTCTCACACCATCTTTCTATGTAAAATTCTTCTAACTGCCTCTTGCATGTCTCTTTTTATGTGAGATACTTTAGATCTAAATGAGGTTTAAGTGTTGCCTGTCCCCTCCTTCTCATTTTCCCCTTCCACTGTAACTGCCCTAATAATGATAAAGTTTTTAGAAGCTACGTGTATCATCTTCCCACATAGAAAGGTAAACAGTTTAACATTATTGAGTTGTTACGATTTCTCTTTCCTGTTTACCTTTTTATGCTTTTATTGAGTCTTCCATAAGAAAGTCATATTTTTTATTCAACTCTGGTCTTTTCATCAGGAATGTTTGAAAGTCCTCTATTTCATTAAAAAGCTATTTTTTCCCTTGAAGGATTATACTCAGTTTTGCTGGGTAGGATATTCTTGCTTGTAATTGCAAATCTTTTGCCTTCTGGAATATCATATCCCAAGTCCTCTGCTCCTTTAATGTTATAGCAGCTAAATCTTGTGTGATTCTGACTGTTACTCTATGGTATTGAAACAATTTCTTTCTGAACCCTTAAGAGTATTTTCTATTTGAATTGGGAACTCTGGAGTTTGGCTATAATATTCCTAGGAGTTTTCTTTTTGGAATCACTTTCAGGTGATGTTTAATGGATTTTTTCAATTTCTATTTTACCCTCTGGTTTTAGGATATCAGGACAGTTTTCTTTGATAATTTATTGAAATATGATGTCTAGGCTCTTTCTTTGGTCATGGCTTTTAGGTAGCACAATAATTCTGAAATTATCTCTCCTCAATCTACTTTCCTGGTCAATTGCTTTTACATTGAGATATTTCACATTTTCTTCTATTTTTTCATTCTTTTAACTTAGTTTTATTGGTTCTTGATGTCTCATGGAGTCATTAGCTTCCACCTGCCCAATTCTAATTCTTAAGGAATTATTTTCTTCAATGAGCTTTTGTACTTCTTTTTTCCATTTGGCTAATTCTGCTTTTAAAGGAGTTATTTTGATCAGTGAATTTTTGTACCTCCCCCTCTCAACTTGACCAATTCCGTTTTTAAGGTATTATTTTCTTCAGTATTTTTTGTGCCTCTTTTACCAAGCTATTAATTGTCTTTTCACAATTTTTTTCCTTTGCTTTTATTTCTTTATCTATAATTTCCTCTACCATTCTTACATGATTTTGAAAATAATTTTTTAATTTTTTTAGGAATTCTTGTTGGGCTTGTGTTCAGTTTGTATTTTTTTTCCCCTTTGAAGCTTTGCTTGTAGTTGTTTTGATTTCATTGATTTCTTCTGAGTTTGTATCTTGATTTTCCCTGTCATCATCGTAGATATTTACGGTCAGATTCTGTTTTGGTTGTTTGGTCACTTTCCAACCTAATTTCTTGATTTTGAACTTTATGTTAAAATTGGGCTCTGTTAAGGGGAGGAGGGGCACAGCTGTCTCAAGCTTCAGTCTTTTTTGCACTATTTTCAGAGATAGTTTGGGGGGTTTGAAAGTTTTTGGTGCTTCCAAGGTGGTGTGATCTGGGGAGAGGTGTGGTCATTGCCCCCCTAGTCTTCACTCTGATCCTTACCCAGGAAGGGCCCCTGACTCCTTGGGATTGAAATTGATGTTACTCCTCAATGTCCCTGCTCCCTACTGGAAATGATACCATTTTTTTACTTTCCCCTCTCCCTGACTTCCCATTCATTCATACACACACAAAAAAAAGAAAGTCTCTTCCTTATTATAAATAAATATAGTCACACAAAATAAATCCATTCTTTGGCTGTGTCTGAAAATAGACATCTTATTCTATACATTTAGTCCATCATCTCTCTGCCAACATGTGGGAAGCGTGATTCATCATCAGTCTTCTAGCTTCGTATTTAGTTATTGCATTGATTGGAGTTTTAAAAGTCTTTTCCAGTTTTTATTTACAATGTTGTGATCATTGTATGAATTGTTCTACCAATGCTTCTCACTTTATTCTCCACCAATTTGTACAAATCCTCCCAGGTTTTTCTGAATCTCTTCCTCTTGTCATTTCTTTCGGTGAGATGATATTCTATTACATAGTCTTAAAAACTTTGAATCAGATCAGTTAAGCTTCTCCAAGGAGGTTGCCCTAGAAATGGGCACAAAAAGGATTAATGGGATTAGATAAGTCACTGTTCATTTGTATGATGATTCAAACTTTACCAAACCCAGCCTAGCATTTTTTGGCCTGTGATGTGGATTCATGCTGAGAAGACCTATCTTTGTAAGATGAAACTGCTGCTTCTGTTTGGACTGAGTCATCAGTATGGGGGTGATGATGTTGCTGAATGTGTGCTATGAATTTCTTTTAAATAAAGTAACAAATTGAGTTTTTTTAATCCATTAAAACCTGTGTGCATGCATGCATCACATGTGTGGATATGAGTCCATAAAAGCATGTGTGTGTGTGTGTGTGTGTGTGTGTGTGTGTGTGTATTTAGACCTGTGTGTGTGTGTAGGTGTATAAGTAGTTGGTCTTTGTATTTTGTATTATTGTAGCTACCTGAAATGTGCCTTTAGAGTGTTAAATGTAATGTTGGCATGCTAGTATCCCATTGGAAGTTTGTGGATTTTTTTTTCTTTTCCAGAAAACATAATGAATTGATTAATCTCATTGTATAAGGAGTTGCTCATTTTAACTATCATGCTTTGAACTGTAGAACAGAAAATATTTAACTACTCCATTCCTCAGAATAACTAGTAATTCAGCAGTGATGGCACAATTTCTCTGGATGGTTTTAAAATATCTATATCTATTTATCTGGTGGGAATAAGGAAAGCAGGAACTGTCCAGCTATCTATCTATCTATCTATCTATCTATCTATCTATCTATCTATCTATCTATCTATCTATCTATCTATCTATC